GCTGGACGGCCTGCAGCCGCATCCCATCGTCCACGGGGACTGTACCCCCGAGGACTTTCCCGAGAAGGTCATCGAGGTGATCCAGCAGCGCATCGCCCGGTACCCCGAGGGCGAGACGCGGTTCAACCTCATGGCCGTGTGCCGGGATCTGCGCGTCCGGGCCCGCGAGTTCGGCGACGCCGAGGCGCTGGAGACCGAGGAGCGCAAGCGGAGGGCCTGGGCGTGGGAGAATACCCTGCGCAAGTCGAATTTCGTCGGCTTCATCGGGGAGGTCATGAAGGGGGTGGCCGGCATGAAGGAGCAAGAGGGCAAATTCGACGAGTGGGTCGAGGGGGCCAAGAAGGAGACCCAGAGGAAGTTGATGCGGAAGTGATTTCCCCGCCCTCTCTCTGTACTATGGCTAGCAGAAGGTTGCCTGTGGCTCCTTTGGATGATGAACTCAATTTAGAATCAGTGATGTGATGATACTCCTGGCTATGTAGGTATGATGTATGTATGTACAGTACAAAGACAAACATATGGCAGAAGAAAAGACCGCTTCGTCATTCATGTCCGACCAGTTTCCGTCCTTATCGTGTGTGATCATCAGAGGCCACCTAGTACTTGGTGATCCGTGACTTGATTTGTTCGACCATTGGCGCCGGCAGTTCATCCTCTTGTACAAATCCCATCGACAAGAGGTCAGACCAGAAGAACATGGCGCGGTCTTGCGCATATGCGAGGTAGTCGAATTCGTCAGACTCATCGACATCCGCGTCCACCGGGGGAGTCGAGGTAGGCACATTAGTAGTCGTCTCTACGTGCGCGCCGTTACCATTCGCGGCATCACCTTGACCATTGGATGCTATGGCGTCCGCATTGATACCTTCTTCCATGCCTGGAACCTTCGCTTGGACAATTCCCCAAGCCACCCACTGAGCGGACGTGATCACGCGCCAGAGCTTTGTCTGCGTCATTAGGGCTTGAATCTTGGCTTCTATACCGTCCGCATGAGATCTCTCGATATCCACACTAGCCATCACATCCAAATCTGGACCGGCATCGAGACTCAGCGGCGCAAGAGAAGTCGAATTGGAAGTACCTGCCCGCATCAGTGGCGTGATGGACGGCGAGGCCTGCTCGCGCAATCCCGGCCGATGGCTGAGGTAAGCACTGATGAATTGACGTTGCTGTGCCGGAGTTGGGTATTCCATATTATTGCACGCCCAAGGTCTTTCCGCGTCGTGATAGTTGTAGCACCATTCAGACTGTCAATGTGGGTCAGTGATAAATTGGCAGAAAGCACTAAGAAGTACTCACGAAGTGGTTCGCGAATTCAAAACCGGGCGTGTTCGCCGAAGCATATTCGAAATCGATCACAACGAGCTGCTTATGCTTGTTCTCCGGACGAAGCAGGGGCGACTCTTGACTTGGCTCCATTCTCAGCAGATTGCCATATTGTGTCTCGACACCCAGTCAGCATTTTATCCATAAAAGGTGGAAGCAGCAGACTTACATCGTTGTGCGCAAAGACCAGTTGCTGTTTCAGGGCATTACTTCCACCGCAACAGGAGATGAGCCACTTGCGATAATTGTCGACTGCCCTTCTGAATACCGGCCAGGGAACGCCGCAGACAAAGCCGCGCCGACGCCATGGCTCTGAGATCGACTTGCTTGCGCTGTGCTCAGATTGTATCTCCTTGTCCAGCCAGTTGATGACCTGCTCGCAACGGTCGACCCATTTGTCCCAGTTCTTGAATACCATCGGCCCTCCTTCCCTCTCTTCTGGGAGCAATTCAACCCCGTCATGGAGTTCTCTCATCCGTTTGGCAATCTGCTTCATAGTGAGAGGATCCCGAAGCTCGCGGGGTGTCAAAGGACGGGCTTCGAAATACTCCTCAAAACGTCCGTTCTGAAAGGTACCTAGCACTTTGGGACCGATGTTCTTACGGCCTAGGCGCCGAAGAATCTGTAACTCATTTTCTCGATCAATCAAGTGATCCACCTGCGGGCCATAGATGCGCAACAGAAGCTTCCTGCAGGGGATTAGATCATCTCTTATGACTTTCATCTGACTTGGGAAAGGAGGCACTTACGGAGGAGGCTTTCTCGCAACCAAAGAATAAGAACCATCCTCGGCCTTCGGGACCGGAATGTGCTGTGGCGGATTCACCACATACACCGCATTTGTCAGAGCACCGCTGAGTCGAATGACCTCAATGTCGGCGGCGAGATCCATGGGTAGCTTTCGCCATCCCTTGAACTGCAAGGTGTGCGCGATGCGGAGTATCTCAGTCTTGAAAGTCATCCACGCTTCTCTGTCTTTGGCGCAACGGACACTGGCCCCTTGTTCGCTGTCGTCATCGTCTGCGCCGCCTCCGCTGTAGGCTAGGGTCTTAGAATTGTCCAGCACCGCATCCACACTAGGAGCAGCGACGTCGAGATCCGAAAAGTCCGACTCGGAAGCCGATCCTCTTCGTAGTCCTCTAGATCGATGGCGTCGAAGTCGCCGCACAGCACCGTTGTCTTGTCGCGAAGCAGCGTACTGAAGCAAGATTTTCTCGAGCTTGTCAAGAGCCATAGGAATCTGTGTGCTGGAAGACGACCTCTCCTCTACTGACATGCTGGTGCTATTGCTGCCTGCAACTTGGCCAGCACTTGCTGCGTCATCCGGAACGCCAGAACCTAGTGAGCGATGAGAACCGCGCTTAGATCTCTCATGTTGAAGCCATTCATACACCTGGCTGTAAAGACTATTCTGCGAATCTTCTTCGCTGTACTTCATACTGGGATCCTTTTCGTCGCGTATGGCAGATTCAGTCAAATTGCTGGAACTCTGGCTACTGAGAGAGGTCGGTGGATGGATTGACGGTCGAGCTGTTGCTTTCTTGGGCACCGGGGCCCGGTGGTGCTTAGGAATGTTTGTTTCCGACGAAGTCGCAGAGTCCGAGTGGCCGGTCGTCTGACGACGTCTTTGGAAAGCCACATTTAGGCCGGTTCCCATGATCGGTTGGGGCCCTTGACAATTGGTCAGAATCCAGCAACATCAAGTGACAGCACAACGAAGACAACGGATGTGCCAAGGGACGTTGAGCTTAAGACGGTCGAAAGCACGGTAAAAGTCGCAGTGGGCTATACATAGATCTGGTCCAGAAACAAAGTTTCCAGGAACCTACAGCTACAGGAGAGGCACAAACCGGAGAAAGGACAGGGCATGGAGCGGAATTGTGCTCAGACCTACCATCATAGTCGAGACCAGACTCAGAGGTCTGGCCGGTAAAAGAGGGCATGTTCAGGATACAAGACCCAGATTGGGAGAAGCAGAAACCGTCTGCGCAACGATAAGTTCAACCACAGAGGTTAATGCTGGGCAGGCCGCGCGTCTGTGTGCTGGAGGTGTTGTCAGTCGGGGACGAAGAACTCAGGAGCTTTTTTGGGGGGGTAATCCATACTATAAGTCATGCAGACCCGCAGGGGACACTGGAGCTCTGGCGGGCCAACAACGGGGTAAATAGTGTCAAAGAGTCCCGGGGAATTTCGTACAGGAAGAATTCTAAGCGGAATTGGCACAATGGCGGGAAAACTGTTGAATTTGACCAGAATCGAAAAGAGGAAAAGAGGGTGACCAAGTGGGGGGTGGAGCGATAAAGGTGCCGTTCAGCAGCTGGCTCGAAAATACGGTCGGCGGACGGTCTCGACGGGGTTCCACTTAGGACCACAATCACATGTGATCAAGAAAGAAGTGAGAAAGGGAAGAGTAGGCGAAGATGGCACGATTGATGTGCGAGAGTAAAATACTTATTATGAGGGTGTAGGTGGTACACCAGTACGGGCAATTCAACAATGATGTCGAAGGAATGAATTTCAAGCAAGCAAGTGAGTGAGTGGCAAATGACGATGTGTAGCGGCCGTGCAAACGGAAGGTGTGATGGGAGAGGCCCGGGGGAAGAAAAGGTCAGGATCGATCTCAGGTGACCTGCCAGTCCCGCCCATCAATTATCAAACTCGGCGGTGAGCTCGTCCCACGAAGTGTTTCTACGGACAATCAAGCAACATCTGCGAGCACACGACAACCGGCAACACATGCAAATCTCACTGGGCAGTGTTTGCTTGTTTCCCCATTCAGGCTCAGCACTTTTCTGAGGATCAGAGACGGGTCGCGATATCGGCAAAGCAGCTGAGACAGACAACTGTCTGCTTCGACCTCATCCCCGGGGCAGTGTTTGGTGAATAAGCCGACCGCTATGTCAACTGGCGCTATGGAGAATTTGAGGGACTGTCTTACTCAAGTATGATATTAATGATATTTTGGCTGCCAAGGTTCCGCTGTGATTCTCAATTTAAGTGGGATCCGACACTTGCAGTAGGCTCGCATGGGCCTTGACCCTATCTGCCATAGACCAGGAGCCGAGCACGTCAGGCATGGCTAATTTCCGATGTCGATCTGCGATCGAGTTTACAGGTGCCGCAGCCTGTAGTTGTATGTCGCTACTAAGGATACTGTTGAAAACACACCTAATTCAGTATACTGTTGAAAACACACCTAATTCAGTAGACCCATCGAGAAGTGAAGAATAGTACTGCATCGCCTAACTGGTAATTCGCAGTTGATCCATTCGGGCTTTAGTCAGGTTACTCAAGTAAATTGTTGGGGGAGGGCCCCTGGTTCGCCCACTGCACCAGTCGCCAGTTGCAGTGCAGTGGCCAAGTTCCTGTGCTGTGTTTGCTTTTATGCATGCTTAGTAACTAGGCATCGATATTTCCAGAACTCGGTGCCTCGCTCAGCCACCGGAAGGCATACGTAGTGGGTCGCTGAGCCGCAATCGCATGTCCCTCGATCTACAGGATTCGCCGGACTGGCCCCAAACCACCATTCGCTGTTCCGTCAAATCCGCGCGAGCAAGTGGATGCGCAAAAGCCGACAGCCACGGTGGCTTGGGACGGCAATGCCATCGGTGAATGGATGCTATTCTTATATCTGGAAATCTGACCGATCGGAAGGGGTCGGGCAACTGTTGGAACTGGGACGAAACTGGGACCGGACCCTCCAGGGGACTGACGATCCCCAAATTTCAGGTCCATGGGGGTTTTGTGTACCCATCGTTTGCCGCATCTGCCGATTGTTATAAATTGTTCGTCTTTCGTCGTTACCTAGCGCTGATCTTCTGTAATCTACTTTTATTCCTGGACATTCACATAAACACCCCATATACCCATATACCCCGGGTTCAATCACAGTTATCCTCAGCGTTCCTTATCCTTATCCTTATCCTTATCTCGCCTAACCACTTTCCACCCACCACCTCTACTATACTATACAACTCTCGCCCTCAATCCTACCAACCATCCACAGAATCACAAGAAACCGTCAACATGCAACTCCAAACCCTCCTCCTGACCACCGCCTTCCTCAGCGGCTCCGCCCTCGCCGCCCCCCAGGGCGACATCGTCGGCAGCATCGTGTCGGGTGCCGAGGGCATCGCGCAGACGGTGGCCTCGGGGGCGGAGAACGCGGCGACCAACATCGTCTCGGCGGCGACCTCGATCGCCAGCGCGGCCGAGACGGACGGTGCGGCCGCCGCCTCCGACGCCCGCTCCTGGGGTGAATCGGTGGCCTCCAACGCCGAGTCCTACGGGCAGTCGGTCGCCTCCGACGCGCGGTCCCGGGCTTCCGATGTCGCCTCCAAGGCCTCCTCCCGCTGGGACGACCTGACCACCCTCACCGGCACCAACGGCGAGGCCACGGCCACCTCGACCGTCTCCGGCGGGAACACCGCGACGGTGACCACGGCGACCGCCACTACGACCGGTACCACTTCCACCACTGGTACGTCGACTGGCAACAGCCGCAGCAGCAGCAGCAGCAGCACGGCCTCGAGCTCCAGCTCCGAGGGCGCGGGTGTCCAGGCTACTCCCGCTGCAGTGTTGGGCTACGGCATCGCCGGCGTGGCGGGTGTCTTGGGAGTGATGGCTGCTTTGTAAGGCGCGGAGTTGGCCTGACCACTTCAAGGGTCACTTTCGGGCTTGTTTTCCATTCAAGAGATCACGTTTGATCCAGGTACCCTTTCTTTCTTCGGGTGGACTGTACATGACACTATTCAACATACCATTGTTCATAACTATATCCCCGCGTCGTCGCTTTCCTTTTTTTTTTTTTAATCGCATGTTTGATAACTAGCATTCAGTCCATAGAACAATGCTTCTTTTCTATCCCTCTTCCCCTAAAATCACCTATAAGCTCTAGCCTAGTGTACTCCTCGCGTTGATTCCATCGTAGTACCGAAAACCCATGCGAGTAAATGCCTTACCCATCATCGCGTAAACCACCGGTGACCAATGGTCTATACCCGTGACCTGACCCAAAATTCTCCCGGCGACCAACCCCGTTGCGCATAGCAGCCATCTAGCACGGCACTTTCACGGTCCTACCTCTTACACCTACACCCACACCTACACCTACAACCAACAACAATCAGCAAACCTTCCACCCTCGTCATTTGTAAACTGTAACTGACCCCCCGCCCCCCACAACAAATACCTGACCAACTCCCCACGTCTGCAGGTGCATACTGAAGTACACTCACCAACCATCCCCGATCGCCCATCAAACCGCGCGGCGCAGCGCTGTGTCCGAGACCCCCCCCCCCCAAACTAAACCAGCAAGATCATCCATCCTAAATGCGCGGTTCTCTCTCGTCGCGTCGCTAATTGCCAAGTGACTCAGCGGCGATGCCGGGGTGGGGGTGGGGGGAGTTGCGCGGCTTCCTCTTCCGTTCCATGTCGTGTATCATGTGATGGTGGCGGGAGTATAACCCCCCCCCCCTCGGATGGGTCTATCTTTCTCCATCCGTCGTGGATGGATGTTGAGGAGGGCGTTGCGGTCGGCCGGTGGGGTTGGGGGGTCGAGGTGGATTGTGGTTTTGATTTGATTTTTATGTATGCGATTCTCATGGGTAAGCTTCACTGCCATGCTATCGTGCATCGACGACGTGTGTTGACGGGAATCGTGAGTGATGGCTTCGATCAGCCTGCAGTGATTTGTGGGAGGGGGGCAGTTGACATTGGCAGTGTACTGTAGATCATCCGGGCTCGACGACGAGTGTGCGATGCGATCCAGCCTGGATTTACAGTCGTTGAATGTTTGGGTAATGTGTCGCTGAGACTCCCAGCATTCAATCTTACTATACATCATTCATGATCTCAAGTTATTGGAGATTGTATAAACTGTAGGTAGGTAGGAAGGTACTGTACTCAGACGCCAGCTAGGACTATCGAACGGAAAATGCAAGAACTCGGCGAGGTGAAAAACCACAACCAGCAGCTTCGGATAATGTACATTCAACTCCAGCTATCCTACTAGGAAAAACTGCCCTCCACCCAAGAAAACAAGATTACACCTCCGTGGTATGGGAGGTGGAGGGCTGGCCATCGCCCACACGCGGGATATGGGCGGCGCCGGCTTTCTCCGTCGCGGAGCCGCGGCGATCGTAGGGCTGCAGCTCCTCGAACTGGAACTTGGAGCTCTTCCAGGGCGGGACGCGCATCACGTACATGGTGTCGATCTCCTCCAGGGTGCGGCCGCGGCCCTCGATCACCGTCAGGTACACCAGGCCCGCGGCCAGGAACAGACAGCCGGCGAAGACGTAGCCGAACCGGAAGTCGATCGCGCTCGTGATGAAGGGGGTGAAGAAGGCCAGCAGGAAGTTCCAGAGCCAGTTGGACGCGGTGGCCAGCGACATGGCCCGCGCGCGGTACTCGGACGGGTACAGCTCCGCGATGATCGTCCACACCATGGGGCCCCACGTGGAGGCGAACCCCAGGATGAACAGACAGGCGAACACGACCATGACCACCCCGGCGGTGTGCGTGCTCTCCGGGTCTTCCCGGTCCAGTTCGAAGTGGCCCACCGAGGCGAAGATCATGAAGCACACGAACATCCACAGCGCACCGGCGATCAACGACCGCCGACGGCCATAGTTCTCGATCAGATACAGACCCAAGAACGTGGTCCCGAAGTTCACACCACCGAGGATCATCTGTGTGACGTAGCTGTTACTGATCCCGGCGCCTTGGAAGATGGTTGTCCCGTAGTAGAAGAAGTAATTGGCCTGGGGTCTTTGTTAGCTAGTGCTATTTTGGGAGCAGGCGGGTTGGCTCAACTTACCCCGGTCAGTTGTTGCAGTGCCTGGAGAGCCACTCCGACTGCAATCCGGTACTTCATGCGCGGCCCCTTGAAGAGCTGGACCCAGCTCACCTTCCCACGCGCCAGTTCCTCCTCGTACTTTTGCTTGATCTCATCGAGTTCTTCCTTCAGTCTGCGGTGATTATGGGGAATCCCGTACATCTTGGCGATGGTGTCGGTTGCTCGCTCGACCTTGCCGTGCCGATAGTCGTATCGGACGGTTTCGGGGAACAGCGAAATCCCCACCCCCAGGACGATCGCCCACAGGTAGGTGATGCCCATGGGAATGCGCCAGGAGGCGGTGCTGTCCATGTCTTCGGTCCCGAAATTGATGCAGTTGGCGACGAAGATGCCCAACGTGATGAACAGCTGGTAGGTACTGTTGCAGTATTAGTGCGCGGTAGAAGATGACAGGGGACAGGGAGCAAGCATACCTGACCAGTGAGCCACGAATGTGTCTTGGTCCAGTTTCGGCTTGATACATCGGCACGAGCAATGACAATGCCCCGACTCCGAGGCCTGCCACCCAACGACCCATGGCCACTTGATACCACTTCCCGGACGGAGAGGATATCTGAACCGTGATGCCCACACACACCATGGCCGACCATCCACTAATAGACCATTTGCGACCCACGCGATCTGCGATGGGAGCTGCAACGAGAGCGCCGATCAGGGTGCCAACGGACAGCTGAAGGAATGCGTTAGCCTCGTGAGTAAAACTTTAGAGCAGAGGAACAGAGCTCTTACCAACGCCACGATGAGGCCCGAGCGGGCATTGGTAAAGTAATACGTGCCATCGGAACGCTGTTGGCCGTATCGTTGAAGGAAGTTCGGCATCTCTAAGAACCCGGAAATCTGACCCGTGTCGTACCCGAAGAGGAAACCTCCCATCGACACGAAGACTCCCATGAGAAAAGAGCGCCATGTGAGGAGCGGAATGGGCGTGTCAACTAGCTCTTCCTCTTTTGCTTCTTGGATCGGCGCCGTGGAGAGTGTTCTATCTGCCGTGGCTCCATTGTCACCGGCAGAGTAAGTGTCGGGTCTACCTCCCGGTCGCCTCAGCTTGGAGAAGACCATTGTTCGCTAGCTTGCTTCGTTCGTTATGTCAAAGTTGATCGGAATCCAGTCATCCAGAGATTTACGAGATCCCAAACCGAGCCGTAACCGGTCTACAGAAGCCGTTATATAGACCTCATAGTATACGAAACACCCGAGACACGAGGAGATGGATGATGAATCATGATGTCACGAAATCGCAGCTTCCCGCATCCCTATTTCGTTTGAATCTTCTAGATGGAGGTGTCAGCGACAGCATTCGTCTGGGATACTTAATCGAGAGACCAGGGTCTTTTCCCCGGAGTGAGCCCATGTCAGGTGCTCACGTGGAGGGGTTGGGTGGCCGGGTTCCCATGGCTCGGTACGGAGTACTGGTTGTGCGTGCACTATGCTGAGTGGCTCCCGGCCGCCGCATGCAACAGCCACGCCGTGGAACCCGCACCAACCCCGGACGGCGACGAAGTCTAGGCGTTCATCATGTCGCCTGGCCACGATCTGGGGAAAAGGCTATCATTATGTCATTTATGTCATTTACTCAGAGGGGCAGTCCCCACGACCAATATGACAGGTTCTTTTACGCCCCATGCATCAGGTGGCTTGATCGATACCACCCGGCCGTCCATGGATCGAGGGCATCGGGCTTCCTGGCACAACTACCCTACTGAGCAGGCGGTGCTCGGTCACGGCCGAGCAAGCGGAGGCCTGAATCATGAGTTGGGCTTCCAGCTTCATTGTCAGACTCTCGGCGATCCCGAGAGAGCCGTTTCGAGGCATATCGCCGTGATCTGTGGCAAGGGTTAGCAGACAAAGAGCCGCTCCACGGGCAGAGAGGAAGTCGGGGGATTAGGGGTGTATCTGTGTGACATAGCTGTTTGAGGTTCCGTGGTCATACCACAGTAGAAACAGTCAGCTCTGAGTCAATTCGATGCCTAAGGTAGAGACGTATGTGCTCTTGCTGCAACCGGGGACTTGACGCACGGCCCCTTGACCTTTACCACCTTGTCTTCGTCAAACAAGATCTTGCTTGACAGCGATGCTGTTGCTCTGCATAAGCCTCGCATGTCAGATATCATCGTCTAGCTGTGTAATGTTGTTTCCCAACTACAGCCTTTCACTACCGAACGGTAACATACATCATCAAGCAACCATTGCTGCCACTGGAAACACAACCAAACAGCTGTAACCAAAACACAAACAGTCTCTCAATCAAGTACCAGTAGCCTGACACACTGCAATTTATCTGGAAACCATCAATCTCCCAATAAAAAACTTGCACATGCGACGCAAGTAGCACATCGCGGCCTCCCATATTACCCAATCCGGCCGTCCTTCGATCCGGGCACACGCATCCAACAAAGGAAACACGATCACTCTCCCGAGTCCCAGCAATGTACGATGGACAGTCGACCACCAGCAAGAATACCTAAGGTAGTCACCCATATCTCCGCCTCGAACCAGACCCTCCTTCCATTCTTGCAGCCCTAATCGAAGCACCCCCGCAACCATCTTGTGGAATATTCTCCCCTCCCCGGCTCGACTTGACAACCCTCTTCCCCAGACCAGACTCCCACTTAATTCCGACCCTGTCCTTGTTGCTGCCCCTGCTGCCCTTGTTGCTGTTGCTGCTGCTGCTGCTGCTGCTGCTGCGCTTCCTCGACCTTCTTTGAGATCCCGGTGGTAGGCGTATCATTCCTGGCCAGCATCATGGCCCTGCTCGTCTGCATTGATTGCATCGTTAGCAGATCATTTCATCCCATCAAGCTCGCAAGGAGATTCAGCAACGCACCTGCTTCTCGCCCAGCGCCACCGCATCTATGTCTGGAACCGGAGCTGCCATTGCCACTGTGGCCATGAAAACCGAGACGAGGTACACGAGCTTCATGTTGATTCTATGGTGTTTTGCAGAAGACGGAATTAGACTTGGGGTTGGGGGGACTAAGAGAAGCTTGTCACGGATCGTGGCGGATTGGATTGAATTGGATTGCTCTGCGATAGAATCGGGTAGGCTAAAGGTAAGATGAAGTTGCTTGGAGGTTGAAAATGAAGGGGTTGCAGTACAGTACATCCCTGACTGCTGTTCGAGTTGGTATATATACCCTCGAAACTCACCGGACAGAAAAAGATAACCTCGAACCTATGTACAGCACCTACCAAGTAACCCCCTGGATTAGCTACTCGCTAAGGCACCTAAAACAAACTTGTCACTTTAAAATCAAAAGTCCCGCGCAGCGCAAAAAGAACAAGGCTATTGACAATTATCTGATACGTCTTCTCGTTAGTTCTCTCCTAGCATTCGCTTACGGTAGATTGTCATTAGTCATTCCTGGGGTCCGCTCCCGACTACGTACTTTGTACACTGCAGTCAAGAAAGATGATGCTATTCAGGAGATTTATGGGTGCATTGATCGATTGGGCGGGGGGGGGGTCCAGGAGCCAGCCACCACCACCACCACCCGCCGATACACCCGATCACGGATTGAGGAAGAACCTCGAGCAGGCAACCACTACTATGAGCCCCCCGTCCCAATGAATTGGGTCCCAAAGAATACTCCGTCGGACATGATCGGCCCAATTGCAGTGGCCCCTTCTCAGTGAGGCAGATCAGGCTTCTGGCTAGTATGAAAGCGGCAAGTGTTCGTCCCGGGACGGACCGGACTCCCTCCCCTTGACTGGGGTTTGGGATGAAGCAACCTCGGCTGAACCGAAACCTACCGACCTGTCACTGCACCAAAGGTGGGCTACCAGTGGAGTACAGTACTCACGCTGCATGTAAAGCTAGGTCTTCGGCCGGGAGGTGGACCTTCGGCGGGTCCTGGTGGAGTTGGGATCGACTCCGACTCTATTGTTGGGGGTTGTTTGACAGCTGGTCGGGGATTGTGTTCTGGTGAGATTGTCAGGGGGTAGTGGGTGGTGTCGGTGTAGGAAGTCTACTTCCGTTAGTCTGGAACGCTTTGCTGAAAGGTTGGCTTTGCCGCCGCTAGAGCCTTTCACACCTCGGTCAAACAAGCGTAATCATTCTACCTCACTTCGCTTCGCTGCTTTGCTTCTTCGCTTCTTTGATGTGGTGGTGGTGGTGGTGGTGGTGGTGGTGACAGAAGCCGTGGCATGAGCCCCATTATCGTCGACATTACGGAGAATGTGGCTTGCCTGGGCTATGACTTTGCCTAGACGAACTTGGTGCTGAATATAAGAAATGGGAGGGAGGCGAGGCTTGAGGGGATCCTCGGAAAGACCAAGTCGCAACTTCGTAGGGAGTACTGTAGGCCGGTCAGATTTCCAGTATGCAGCAGACCCATCATTCGATCTGGGCTTGACGCCTCAATTGGCCTCGACCGTCTTTGTGATTTGTATTTGCATGCTGCACCGATGCATGGCATGAAATGATATGACGCGTCACATAAGTGTACAGAATCTCCTCCTTCCCTTCACCACACTGGTACGGAGCAGTACCTCGCTTATGCGTACTTCGTCGAAGCCTCCCAAATGGCCCTCGCCATTGAATGGGGTAAGTGGAAGGGAATTGTGATCTATCTCATCGGAAGACGTAAATAATCTTCCATAGTTTCTGGATTCAAGGGCGCTACAGTACTCCGTACCTATTCCCTTTTTAGTCCCTCGAGAGTGCTTTGGTGCTTTTCACCACGGTGATCGTCGAATCTCGCAGGCGTCTAGCCTGGATCATGCGTCGGTTTCCCACACAGATCTGCTCTCATCTTCCGTTCGGAGCAGCCCCCCTCCCCAGGGGATTTTCAGACACAAAAGTACAGCACAGTCCATCAAAATAAGGCTAGATCGGACATCGGACGCCATGGCGCAGAAGTACCAGTACCAGGAACGGGGTGAGTGGATCAGGCTGTCCTGTCAAATGCGCATTGACTTTGTTCGATGGTCGTCTTCTATTTAAAAACCTGGTCGATCAATTCGGATCGCCCCCCTATCTGTTCCAGTTGGTGGTCTGTCAGAAACCAGAACCCAAGGAGTGATACTGTTTGTTCCCACAACCAACTCTACACGACTCACACAAAAGGCAACACCAGATACGAAGCATACTCGCCTCCCCCGTAGACCACATGGGCCCCTTGATTCTCATCGTCCGGCTCCGTCGGCCGCATGAAGTCCACCTCCGGGAAACACATATCGTGGCCCGACACACGGAGCACGATGCCCTCCCCGGGCCCAAAGACCATGCCCATCGGCCAGAGACCGATGTCCAATGGTACAATGGTCCCGGGGGCAATCGGCTCCCGTCGATCATGCCGGTACATGATCTCGTCCGCGGTCGATCGGGCTTCATCATCATCGCGAGTGACCGCGTGCGAGGCGCGCAGGAAGCCCGACGGGCCCAGGGTCTTGACGGTATTCACATTCGGGACCTCCGTCGCCGGCATGGGACACGGATAGTTGAGATGCTCGAGAAGCTTGCCGTCGCGGTTGATCTTGCGGATTTGCACCGCGACGTCCAGGTCATCGTGATCTGGACAGGACATCCAGAGTCGGACCTGCGGGTATCCGGCGAGCTCGGTGTATTGGTCAAAGTATAGGACGAAATCCTGGACGGTGCAAGCGGTTAGTGCGTGATTAGAGAAGATTCATGGGGAAGTGCTCACCGAGCTGGCTTTCAGGTCGTGTCCTGCATGTGCGACGGATGATACAGCAACTGGCTGCTGTGGCTGCAACGTCATGGTCTCCGGCCTGAGATAGAACCTCTTCAATTCCTGCCGCGCTAATGGGTACTCCTTCTCAGGTCGTTCACAAATTGTCTGCACAACACTATCTTCGAACCCGAGCAGCGAGAGTCTGACTGGCGGGGTACTCTCCTCCCAGCCATTCTCAACGCCCTTGAGATACCGATCAAAGTATCGTGCCAGGTCTTCGACCATCTCCGGACGATAGAGGTCGTACCATTCCTGATAGGGATGCACACGGAGCCATTTGCGCGGGCTCTGGGCGGCACGGAACGTCTCGAAGGAGCCACGGGTATGCAGCATGGACGAATACGATGCTAGAACATACAACGGCACGTCGCCAATCCGTTCCGGGTGAATGCGCTTGCTCTGCCAGTAGTCATCATAGAAGGGCCGCTTGCGGATCATGGCCGGCATGTTCTCCGCGGCCCCGTGGCCGGCGAAGCCCGTGAGGATCATGGCGTGGAACCGCTCGTTGTGCGGCCGCCCCCCACGGAACACCAAATCCCGGTAGAGATCCGTGAGCCCTTCCCACGGCGCGAGGGCCTTGAGGGCCGGGTGCGCGAACCGCGAGGCGAAGTTGACCTGCGCGATGGACAGCCACGAATTGCCGGCCATGCCGACCGAGCCGGAGCACCACGGCTGCCGCGCCAGCCAGTCGATCGCATCCCAGATGTCCTCGGCCTCCTGCTGGCCCCAGAACACGATATTGCCCTCCGAGTCGCCGCACCCGCGGGCGTCCACGTTGACGACCGCATAGCCACGCGCGGTCCATTCCGCCGGGTCGGGCCCCTCGAACTTCTCGTAGCCGGAAGTGCGTCCCTTCTCGAGACCGGCGCGGAACGGGGCCATGCTGTCGTAGCTCTGGGGGCCGGTGCCGGTCTTCCCGTAGGGGCTCCAGGGCATGATCGCTGGAACGGGGACATCGTCCGAGTCGACGGGCCGGAAGATATCCGCGTAGATCTTGATGCCGTCACGAAGGGTGATTGCCACGTCTCGGCCGTAGATCATGTCTGTAGGCAGTGATCGGAACCCCGAAGATCGGACATGACCCTTGGGAAGGATGGTCTCGCTTGGTTGGAAGCCGTAGTAGGTGAAAGTCGGGTGGTCAGTTGGAGGGGTGAGTTTGTGCCATTCGAGATCAGGGAAGGCTGCGCGAATCGACTTTTCGGTAGTGGTCATGATGGAGGTTGATAGTATCGATATGAAGGATGGTCTGTGTTGGATTCTTTGGAGGCATGCTTGCTATTTATGATCATGAGAAGGTCAATCAATATCTCCACTCCCCCACATGCCGGGGCTAGGAGGAGTTGGTGCGGAGAAACACCCGTTGGCAATTGCTGATGGTCAGAAGTAGGACGTCGGGAAGTGGGAAGTGGGAGGTGGGAGGTGGGAGGTGGGAGGTGGGAAAGGTGGGTTGTAGAGAGGTGGGAGAGTGGGGAGAATCAACAGCAGGTGAATCACTATGGGTGAACTGGAAAGAACTCGAAGCAACTCAATTTGAATTGTCGCAAGTTGTAGCCTGAGGCACAAGGCCGGTCCTCAATCGCATCAAGTCCTCACTGACTGTAGCATGCAGGGTAGGCGTGCAGCTATTCATTTTGAAGAACAACTTACGGAGTACAGCGGAGATGATTTTTGAGAAGACTCCAATCAACAATAAACATTAGTAATATTGCACTGATTTCGCAGCACTATACAACGGAAAAGCAGACCTCTATATACAGCGGGCTTCAAGTTAACAGAACTTGTAAAAGATAATGACAGACAACAGCAATGTGAAAGTAAACCTCTAAACGCCGACACCCCGGGACCAATGTATGCACCATGGATAGTCAAAGAAAGTGGTCTCACAAGATTAGTACAACATGTTGTTCAAGATTCACAGAGAAAGACAAGTCTAATGCTTGGGCATGACCGCAAGCTCATAGTCCACAGGCACTTCCGGCCACGCGTCGATTCCATCCATGATGGCCATTGCCAGTCCACCGCTGTGGTGCATCTGGATGTGGCAGTGCATGAAGAAAGGACCGGGGTTGGTGACGTGGTATCGGAGTGCCATCCAGCTGGGAGCACCCAGGGATGGTGGGGTCTGGAAGGTGTCACGCATCTGAGGGGTTTGCAGGTTGAAGCTGGTTGGGATCTTCTTCATCGCCTCCTCGACAGAGGAGTAGGTCCAGGCCGAATTGCCCTGTCCGATCACGTAAAACTTGTTCGAGTGCTTGTGGATCGGATGTTGAGGCTGACCGGCAGTGGTGACATTGAGGATAAGATCCACCCAGGTATCATTCAAGGTTGCGATCATGTTCTGGGTGGGGATCGAGGTGGGATCGAACAGTGCTGGGAATTGAACATCCTCGAGATCCATCGGATAGGACTCATTTCCTAGCCTCCAGCCATACGAGGTCGACAATTGAGCAATGTCGAGAATGAATGTCTTATTGGCATATGCCGCAGGCGGCTCGCGGGGGAATGGAACGAGGGTGTTGTCATCGAGGATGCTTTTACTGCGATCTAGAACAGTACCAAGCTCATTAATGTATTGCCCCGACGAGGTAGTCGAACCAGGCCTGCTGTTGCTGGTCGGCACGGTTCTCTGCGGACTGGTTAGGCTGGGGCTGCTAGACCCTTGGTTGGTGTAGGTCAAAGTCGCTGTGCCATTAATGATCTGGTTGGCATACTTGTTGGCCGCACGGACTGTGTATGATCCAGCGGGCTGATCCAATTTCAACATCACCGAATATCTTGAGCCAGCGGGGATATTGATCGCGTAGGTGGTGGATGGTTCCACATAGCGTCCATCAACCGCATAGACAATCATCGGATGGTTGTCAATGGAGAACACTAGCGAGGCACTGCCAGCCATACTCAATACATCATAACTGACATATTTCTTGGATGCATCGACATTGAACACCTGGTTCGGACCCTGAGCCGGCACGCAGCCCTCGAAGTAGCCCTTGGGAATTTTGGTGAGATCAAAGTCGTATCGTGCATATCGTGACGCAGTAGGTGGCATACACCTGGTTGCAGTCATGGTCAGTACGAAGATCAGAGAGAGAATATCGACGCAGAACTCACCCCATATCACTCATTTTCACATCTCCCAATGCCTGGCTTTCGCCCGCTCGAGTAAGAGAGTCAATTTGATCCTGACCGGGACAAATGACAGAACCCTTTCCATTAACTAAAATGGAACTGGCACAGTAGCTTGAGAAGCCAGAGTCTTCTTGAATCTGAAGAATCTCTTCGGAAGTGAATAGACGCCAGTCAGAGATAATAACCGGCTGTGTTTTCTTTTCAGCGTCTAACAATGCCTGCAGCTCCGTCTGATCACTGGTCATCAGGCTGAACGGTCTTTCCACTGAGTCCGCAGGCTCCACGTAGATAGCACCATAAAGACCATCATCGAGCTGGGCTCTCATGTGTGAATGGTATATATATGTTCCATATGCATCTGCCTTCCACTTGTATAGAAAAGCGTCGCCTGGTTGGATGGGGGCTTGCGAGATTCCAGGAACACCATCGGACCACGGGGTACCTTGTTGTACGATGCCTATCACCCCAATGTTAGTACGAACCGGGAAGGATGCGGAGAGAAGAGATGAACCATGCATAGGGCGACTTACCGTGGAAGTGAATGGCAGTTTCGAATGGCATGGAGTTATTGACGAGGAATTCCACATCATCACCTTGCTTGACTCGCAACGTTGGACCAGGAAGTTGGCCGTTGGTCCAGATGGCTTTGCGCGTATTGCCAGCTACCTTACCGTCCTCCCATGTTAGATCGACATTGAACTTCACCGTTTTGCAGGAGGCCAGTTCAATGAGGCCAGTGAGGGCCGCCAGAGCCAGCCCGGAGTAAGTGAGCTTCATGACTGATGAAAGACAGAATCTATCCGATTGACCTTAACAAAAAGGGAAATGTTCAAGTCGGGAAGCTGGGTCGATGGTGAAATTCGGCCCGTGAGCTGGGGCCGGGTTGTCGTATGGGTTTGTCGTTGTACTTTCTCTGAATTCCATTTGGACTCTGGCAGGCTGTACTTATATTATCAGAGATCAGGTCTAGAAATGTGCTCGGTTACGTTGTGCTAGCTGAACCCGAGCACCGGAATGTAGACCAGCTCCAAAAATATCCGGCTCGTCCCTCCACAGCATCGAGTTAAGTCCGAGACCTGTCATCGGAAGTCTTCTCAATGCTATCAGTGATGGCAAGCCTACTGCATTCGGACTTGCCACATCTCTTTGTCTGCGACTCACTCTGGACGACTGAGTTCAGATGTCTTGATGCATAAGACATGTTCATACGCTCTGTACGCACTTGTCTTGATCATGATATTGACTGCTCCCGGGGCTCCAGCTGCTCTCTGTCGCCGAGAAAAGTAATCTCCGGAGTCGAGCTCCTGGATTGACCAAGCATGGAAAGATCGACCTCGATATGCTGTACCCAAGGTGTTGTTTAGCTATCGGATGCAGGAAATCCATGTGTTGAGGCCCTGTCTTGGCAGGGATCGACAGGGCAGCGGACCCACGCATGCGGAATGAGGAAGAAAACAAACATCCTAAAGGATCCAAAGATGCTGTCATCGTCCGGTAGCGAGGGGGAGATGCTCGGTCATCTCCATAGTGCCAAGTTTAAGGTTGCATGGAAGCCCTGTGTAGTATCAATCTAGTTCCCTGCTTGCTCGCCCATTTCCATGGACCTCAGCAACGGCCCGTCGTCGCATCCGCACCCGCGCCATAGCAAACCACTGGAACCATTTAAACCAACTGTCAGACTCGAGATTGGCGCACAAATCATGAAACGAGTGTGCTCATTATGGAATTACACAATCCATCTTCATCCAAGGGACAAGTGATAGATAGTTAGAGAGCAGCAAGATGTGCAAACCACCGTGAGCGCAACCGGCACTAGACATGCACTTGGCAGCCGGGACCGGGTCAGCTTTCATGACGGTAGTCTCGATCGGGAAATGTTCACATTCCTGGGTTGACCTCCTGGTCTACCTGTCTTTGTTTGTTTATAGTCCAGCATTTGAATCCATAGAATCATTGCGGAGCAACCATGTGCCCTTCTCGAATGTCAAAGAAAACTGAATTTGATGTTGGTCGGCTATCTAAATCGGGCAGTATGTTTGACAGACTGGACGATGTATACTTGATATCGCTGCCTGTATATTCAGGCAGCACACGGCACCACACCAAGCTCCCCTCGTCAGGTTCTCTCTCAAGTCACGTAGTCGATGATGGTCATCGAGTACAATGCCGACTCTCTTTGCTCCATGACTCACCCCAGCGGGGTTGCCTCGATGAGCGTCGTCATGATCAGGTCGGGATTGGCTGATAATGGTACCATGCAGGCGACTAGTGCTGCATCAGCGGGATAATCCCTCAATTCACCATCGACCGAGTCTTATCAACAGAGCCTCAAGATGGCGTCGCTATCCAGAAATTGCTAGCATGTCATGTCTTCCTCGGTCGGAGAGTACAGATCTGCCCAACAAATGTCATGTCTTCGAGTGAAAGAACCGGTTTAATTGCAAGCTCTAGAAATGGGAGCGATCCAACAGGCCTCAGCTCCACGAATAGTCCCAAGGACAATAGTAGCGGCACCAACAGTAGTACCAGACTAGCGATTCTCATTGCATATCTCGGTATGCCCCTGTTCTTACTGGGCTCTTCCACAATAGCTAACAACACCAGGGGCATTTCTTGCTAGCTCTGACGAGTCAGTCGTCATCGCGACCTACGATGTCATTGCTTCCGGATTCCATGAACTCGCCAAAGGCCCATGGCTAGTCACCGGCTACAATCTGGGCTACTGCATTGCATTACCGATTGTACGTATCTGCTCTTCATCTAAAATGGATGAAGCCCATTAACCACAGGATATTCCTCTGTACAGTATGGCACATTGGCAGATGCATGGGGGCGCAAGTTATCCATGCTTGTGGGATACTCATTCTTTGGCATAGGCTGTCTTATCAGGTCGGTTACCTTCGAAGGACGTCGTCTTTGATTCTCTATCAATTGTCTCACTGGCCAAACAGCTCTATCAGCGCAGCAATGACTGGGTTGATAGCAGGGCGAATCGTCAGTGGCGTCGGCGCTGCTGGCATGGCCATCACAATCTCGATAATCATCACCGGTGGATTGTCATCTTCCTTCAGAATGGTTTAGCTCACACTCAATGTAAAATTAGATCTTGCTGCTCCGCGTGATGTTGCCCTTTTGCGGAGCTATACCAACGTTGTAGCTATGATCGGGCGGGGCGTTGGGGCTCCAATAGGTAGCATCGTGGTCAATTCACTTGGTTGGAGATGGTAAGGAGTCTCGTTCCGAAGTAAGATGATGGGAACTGACAAGGACAGGGCGTTTGCTGGTCGGTTGCCACTCATTGTGCTCTGTTTGGTTCTGTCCCGAGTATACTTCCCAGACCACCACAAAGAGACCGCCGAGCCCCAAACTTCCCACGGGGGTAATATCAAGCAACTTGATTACCTGGGCATTGCTACCTTTGCAACTGCGGTCGTGGCTCTGTTGATGGCCATCACAATTGCAGGCCAGGAAGGCGGCAAGATGTCCCACCACTATTTTTGGTTGGTGATCTTCACACTTGCAGCAATCTTCTTTACCTTGCACGAGATCCTGTGGGCGAAAAGACCACTGGTGCCTCTTAAGCTGGCTACCAAAGGTATCGGTCAATATTGGTTGGTGGAGCTACTGATCTTCAGCGGGAGAAATGGGGTGAGTGTCACACATGGAGAATTTTGCATCCGTCCGGATGATCAACCCCGCGCAGCTTGTTGCTACTATAACTCAATATCTCACCCAAGTGAAGCGTCTTCCGGAGGCTACGGCTTCAATGTACCTCGTTCCCAGCACGATGGGACTTGCAGTCGGGTCCATGACTTCCGGCTTCGCCATCCAACGGTAAGTACGACGCCTTCGTCTCTTGTGTTTTCCATTCATGTCTAACCCGAGCAGAACAAAACGGTACAGAACGCGAAGTCTTTACTCCGCTGTCATCAGCATCCTCTCATCAATACTCCTCTTTTTCGCTTGGCATTTCGACCATCCGGTCGTAGAGTCTTTGTTGGTGATTCCCATGAGTACGCCGATTGGCATCATCACCTCCGGTGATTTTATCGGCATGTCCAGTCGCGCGCCGCCAGAGGTCCTGGCGTCTTCGATTGGAGCATACTACCTCAGCCAGCAGCTGGGTTTGATTGTGGGTGCAGCAATGGGACCCTTGGTCGTGAGAACTGGGTTCAAGCACGACATTGCCGGGGGGCTGAACGAGTCGGTGGAAAATGAGGTAAAGCATAGCGTTGCGTCCAGTTTCTGGGGCGGTTGGTAGTCTGGACAGTGGACACTAACACGATCAGGTCATCCGCAATGTGCTTCGCGATGCCAAGTACGTCGATACCCTACCGGAAGATATACAGAGAGTAGTCCGTTCCTCCTTGGGCTACGGATATCAATTCGTACCAGGTAAGCAGCTAGCCTTCATTGGGTAGGAGGCACAATACTGACTCGGCAGTACTTGCGACGGTCACTGTTGCTCTCTGTGTGCCCAGCCTGGTGGTGACGCGCGAACAATCGGTGGAATAAGCAGCCCCTAATTGCAGACAGTATTAGGATAGGGCTTCGTCGATTAGGCTGTGCCGCGCTGTGCGTGAGATGAGACTTCGAAATGAAGTCTCTCTTCAACAGTCTTAGGTATTCGGTGCTGTCAAATCTACAAGGCATGCGTGGAAGGAATGAAAGCCGGGGGATCGACAACTTTGGCTTTTCAATGAATTGGATCGCCTCGGCTACGCTTTTTATAGAATGGAACAGAATGAGGTTCAATTGCAGTCATTCAACCCCCAGATTCGTTTCGAACTTGACGGGTGGTGTCGCCGGTTACATGTAACCAATTGGCTTGGTCGGTACACGGTAAGGACTCCGACCGAGTCACCTGCAGCGGGTTTCAAGCATCGAATCAGAATATAGCGAATGAAATCAAGCCAATGATTAGATGTCCATGAAACATCAATTCGCTTATCAGCTGCACATGCTCGAAGAGTCATCTATTTACACGACCAGGTCCAGGTCGGGTCTTGCAGTCCGTGGAATCAACATCCCTACCGTGTCCCACCTCAAATGGCACAGTAGTAAGCCGAGGGCGCCCGGGAAATCTAGAAGACGCCGTTCGTAAAATCGACCACCTGCACCTTCTCAATGTCCCCGCCCAGACCCTTGACGAAGGCGAGATGATCGGGGTCCTTGTTCAGGTAGTACTCGCGGTCTTCCTCGGACTCGAACTCCATGACGAACACATGAGTGATGCCGTTCTGCGACAAGAGGGTTTAGTCCACGCAGAAAACAACTTTCTCGCAGGGCTGAAGGGAGTGAGTGCAACGTACGTTCAGCCCTTCAGGCGAGTTCTGTTTCCCGGCTCGGAAGGATTTGATGTATGCCGTCTGGGTGGTCGGATGAAGACACTTGTCCTTCAGCGCGACCAGATTGCTGCACACCTATAGCGAATTATATCAAGGCCTGTTAGCGAGGATGTGATGGTCGGCTGGAAGTAATAGCACGGCACGCACTTCTTCAACCCGGTCGGGGCTGGTCGAAGACTTGAATTGCACTTGCACGATGTGGGTGATCATGTTGTCTGGTTCGAGCGAAACCGGTGGTTGTTGTTGGTGTTGTTGGTGAAGAGGGGAATGGGCTGGGCGGATAATTATGGCGATGCCCTGATAACGCACCAAGTGGCGTGTGGGGAAAGAGGTGGATCAGTCAGCATGATCCTGGTCGGTTTTGTCAGTTTAGTTGCGAATTTGATTATGTATGAGCGGACAGCTGAGCTGGAGGATTCCTTCACCTTCCATTTTCATCGACTTATCTGCACTGTATGACGGTTTTCAGTATCTCCTACATGTAACCGTAACTCAGCTAAATGAACAGATTAGTAAGCTTGGATGCAGCGTCAAGTCACACTGTGGGCATAAGCCACAGGCATTAGACTCAGAGTGTGATTAGCAAGGTGTAACGGTTATGACACTATTGACGGATAAATCTCCTTCTCATGTCGACAGGAGCTCGGGCAGATCTATGGTAGAATACCTATACGTCGGGACGAGTAGTTAGTGGTCTTGTCGGGTTCTTTGGATCAGCTCCCGTCTCTGGCCTCTTATCCTCATGCTTATCAGGAGAGCTACTCAGTACGGACATACACTAATAACCGACGAGCATATGAAGCAGAGCCCCGACCACGTCCAGAGATGTACATCTATGGTAACATCGACTTACCTGACTTTGCAGAAAATATCACAAGAACCATAATATTGATGATAATATTGACATGCAGGCAATGTCAGCCACTTTGCATAGATATACCGACACTCAACCTGCATTCTTGCCACAAGTATGGACAGCGTGCTCCATAAAAGGCAGCATCTTGCCTTTGAGACTCAATGAGCAATACAACAACTCACTGGAATCAGAAGCCTCAACACCCCCAGACAATACAGACAACATGCTCATCTACTCCGGCAAATTCAGCTACTCCCCCTACGCCACCAACGAACTGTTCTCGGTCGTCTTCCGCGACAATGTCCAGACCGGGGACCGTGTGGCCGTCATCCTTCAATGGTCCAAGGACGCAGGCGGGCAAGTGAAGTCCAATTCGAACCACCACGGCACGGTCAGCAAGGTGTCTACCAATGGTTCCGGGGAGAAGGAGATCGAGATTTTCCAGAACGAGAAGGACAGCACCTACTATTGGTGGGGATTCCTGTGCATTAAACCCCGGATCATTGCTGATGAGTTATTGATTTCACTTCAGGTATAAGGGAAAAGTGTCCGGGGAGACCATGACCTTGAGTATGTGGAATAAAGGGGGAGAGGAGGTTACGAAGAATATCAAGCTGCAGCTTGTTTTCTTCTGATGGAAGCACTTGGCTCAAATGGTGGGGCCTTGTCGCTGTGGGTGTGTTGCTTGAGTCCGAGTCTACCAAATGGGTTTATCGGGGATTTAGCTGAGACCTACATTCCTTTCTTTGGGTTTGATGAATGAACATCTATAGGGCTCAACTTGCGTCGAGCCATGTCCAGAGCAATGTTCGTACAAACACATGGATTGGCTGATGCGGCCGAGTGATCTTTGTGTAGAGCCACAAACATTAGAACTGGAATCGCATTCCAGTTTCCTTGTTTGGCCGGAAGTCGTAAAGTAATCGATGGTGACATGCGAAGTACGGTCTCAACGCATCTCTTGTTGAGGCTAGGGTACCAGAAATAAGTGACGAGCACCCCTTGACTAGGCATATGTGACTGGGATTTTGAGGCTACAGTGACAAATGACCGCTAGAGTGGCGTAGTTCTTGCTCAACATTTGACTACAGTGAATTGTACAGTACTTGTGACTTGTCGATTGAGCGGCCAATATATGTAACATGATATCTATGATTGAGATAAAGTGGAACCACACCCCGTCTTCAGATCACAAGTTCAATAGTAAATCTCATGATATACGTAGAAGTATTAGGTGTGACCATTCGACCTAGTAGATGCCTTCGTCATACAAGGTTTGCTCCGAGTGATTGTGGATGGAACCGAGGGGCTGCCACGCGGCGTCGGGGACCATTCGGGCTTTCCGAGCCTGATCCACAGGTTGAACCTCGAGCCGGTAATATTATTAGGACATCTGACATATAAATGAGAGGGCCCTGAGCATTCTGGGCAAGCCCTAATAAGAGAAATGCATAATTATAGGCTCGGGGCAAATTGCAACCCTTCAGAGCCGCTCCCCGAGTGGGGTGGAAGACAGGATGCCACAGTGCCACCTCAGTCTGACAGGCGTCGGCTTCCCTTCTTCTAGAACCCGATAAATCGCCGACTGATGGTTATTGATCCCTTATTGGATGATCCGTGGATTGAATGGGCAGGACCCCGAGTCGGTGTTAAGGTAGTGGAGCCCTAACAAATAAATTGTCAAAATTGTCAATATCCCGGATGACGGCGACGCATGATGATGAGGGGCAGAAGAAGAAAGCGAAGTTGATGGAATGGAAATGGATCCCGACCGACTGATTGCGATGGGATGGAAGACGGGGAGTAATTTCTATTCTCCGGGGAACCCCCTGACGGTCCCGTGACCTGATCCGGGCAGTCGGTACCGCCCCGGTCGGGGAGACTATCTCCTATCTCCTCCTCACATCCATGAATCTACTTCGTTCCAATTTCATGGTTCTTGACTCGATCCCATTCGTATTTCATCAACTCATCCCCTCCAGGGTGGGATAATTCTCCGACCTAGACTCTAAATTGGCTTGCCCCTTCATTCATGCAACAAACTTTCCACCCTCCGCCCCTCAGCGCATGCCTGCACTTTGGTCCCCGAGTTCAGGTCCCTCCTGTACTCTACACACAAATCGCAGTCAGCTGCAAGTAAACCCGAACCAATCTCGAAGCAGCATCAACAAAAAAAAAAAAAGCATAATGCTCAGTTTCAGGTTTCATTGCGCTGATGGATGGGGATGGACCCCGGAAATCTAGACGCATGAAGTCATGAACAGCCTCCAGATGCAAGGCTGTCGATCTGTTGCAATGGCCAATCTGCGATGGTCCCCGAGTCGGGGTCTCGCGGGATTGGATCCTGAGGATCCAAATCTCGGGGTTCAGATCCCTTTGGCTGCAGTGGATGTCTTCAATTTCCCAGAACCCAGAACGCCTCTCGCTCTTCCTTTATAATTCACTGCGATGTCGTCAGCCGTAGTCCCTGGATCTGGCACTATGAATCAGTCTCTATCAAGATCATGCAGGATTCCGGCAAACCCTCCGCACTCGCCTGTGTACCCTGTCGGCGCCGCCATCTGAAATGCGATGCCCGCATGCCCATCTGCACTCGGTGCCAGAACAATAATCATGATTGTCGATATGTCCGATCACGTCGTGGGCTGCGGAGTAACAAGACGGGCCCTGGACCGACAGCGGAAGAGGAGGCCGATGCTCTGTTCTCGTCGAATATCATGAACTGGCTGGATGCCTCATTTTTAGATGTACATACATAGCCTTCTCCGCCAAGCACTTGTCGAAGACGTCGTCTTGCTAATGGAACTAGCCAGATTCCCTCCTCGACATCCCTGACCTGAGTCTTGATATTTTCCATCAAGATCCAGCGCCAACATCGCCAACGCCCGTGCATATTCCTCATGCCGAGGATATCACCCATGATGCTATGATTCAGCTCTACTACCATCACTTCCATAGATCGCATCCTATACTACTACCGAGACGGGCGCTGGCATCGTCCGTTGCACAGCATATACCAGATTATATTCCGGACATCATGCGCTACATCGGCAGTCACTATACTTCTGCTCCAACGCTCAAGGACAGCTTTTACCAGTCCGCTTACACCGTTCTCACCGCGCCGAAAGATGGCTTTCAAGCCCAAGGTCTCCTCCTACTCAGCATCCTGGAGCATTCGCATGGTCGCGAAGAGGCCGCACGACGACTTCTCCGGGAGGCCGTCCAGGTTGCATACGGCATCGGCATGCAGACCCAGGCGTTTGCCTCGGAGAACTCCCACGGCTACCCCGTGCTGGAGGAAAGCTGGCGACGAACCTGGTGGGAGCTCTACGTCACGGAGGGACTCATGGCCGCCATGGGCTCCGGGCAATGCGGGGTGCTCTCTTCAGGCTGGGAGGACTCCGATGTGTGGCTCCCTTTACCAGAGGAGACTTACAACATAATTGCAGGAGGGGGTAGTGGTAACGAAGTAGGCACAACCCTGACCCCATTCCCATAGAAGGTCCTGATCTGACAGCCAGCCAGACGAAATCCGAACCCTTGACCCTGTCCTCCCTCTCTGACTGGCCATCTGACCTCACCTCTCCCGTCTCCCGCATCCACGCAGTACAATTTCTTCGAGCTGTGCTCGAGCTCAACCAATCCCTTGACCCTGCAACCGAGACGCAAACCGAGACGCTGGACGCACGGCTCGTCTCCCTACTCATGCGCTTACCCTTAACCCCCTCAATAACCGACGCATCCACTATCGACGAGATGGCCTTCCAGGCCTTAATGATCACTTACCTGTATGCTTTCCGATTCCACACACTTCTCTATCACCCATCGTACACATCCACTAAACAAAACCATATAGGAGTCTAATCCACCTCCACCACCCCCATTCGACAATCCGCTTCGCCTCCTACCAACGCGCAAACGCGCAAACCACGAACGCGGCAAATAACCCCGCCTCCTCATCCTCCTGCACAAGACTCCGCGTCCTCAGCCCATCATCATCATCATCACCAGCATCCGCATCCGCATCCGCACCATCAACATCGAACCCCACGAACCCCATCCCCGCCCCCCACCTCCCGCTCAACATCCACGCCCAGAAGATGCTCCGAGCCGCCGACCTGATATCGAATCTAGCCACCCTTCCCAGCTCCGTACAGTCCCGCACCCCCTTCTTCACCTGCGCCCTGGCGCTCGCCATCGTCGTGCACACAGCGACCTTCATGATGTGCGTGCCCTCGCCCTCATCGTCCTCTGCTTCTTCCCCTGCTGCTCCTGCATCTTCCACCAAGGGAGCCAAAGAAGATGCCCTAAAAGCGCGCATCGAGCTCGGAGTCGGGGCCCTGCAGGTGCTAGGCCGGGTGTGGCCGCTAGCGAAACAGGTGAGAGGGGAGATGATCGAGCTGTATCGCGGGAGGTGATTTTCGCCGATCCGCCGATTAACCATAATTACCCGTCGCAACCTTGACGAGCAAAAGACAAGGACAGTAGAGAATCAAATGAAGTGGCAACGGTCGCTTTTCCTTTCATCATCCTCACGTCTCATGTTATTCTTGCATTCGCATTTGGGAGGGGCTTTAGGTTGGTAGATAGCACAGCACAGCGCGATTCATTTCTTCTGCCATTATCTATATATATCCTACATCATATGTTCTTGCAATATGCAGTATATATGAGATTTCATCGAGACGTATATTTTTTCAGATTGCTTTTGCTTTTTTTTCTTCCTTTTTTCTTTTTCTTTCTTTGTTTTTTTTTTTTTTTTTTGTACTTCAGCTTAGTAGATTCTCTCAGTATTGGTAGGACCTTTCACAAAGTTAACAATCCCGGTGGCTCTACCCAGACATCTGGTTATGGTAGGTTATTTGAGTAGAGAATGACCTCACTCTGCAAGACTTAGTAAATGCTAACCCAGTTGACTACGGGGAGAGGTTGAAGAACAGCGCTGTTTAAGGACGGCCCTTAGCTTAGCAAGCATGACGTTGGGAATGCATGGTGCTTTCTAAATGACAGGAACACTTCCATGATAAATTTGTGTATCTCGTTATATGTCTGGAATTCATGTATCAGAAGGTCAATATATACATGGGCATAAGTATTGTGTATCGGTCGGGGCGCTGACAATCGACCCGGCAATGGAAGAAAAAGAAATAGCCAGGGGATGAATGTCTCAAGCCCCAATAGGTCAGGGTGAAGAATGAAAGAGGGACGTGAAATTAAATGTATGGTATGAAAAAGGAAATGTGAGTATACAAAGCGTCAAGGAGTCCGGGCAATCGGACGGGCATCATGTTGGGGCGGCCGGCCACTGCGGTCTCTATCTTCCCCACATGCGGGCTGCTTGCCCATTGCCTCTGTCGGGAGAGCCATCGAATGACCCCTTGCTTGAGTGATCGCTCGCCTCGCCCTCTACTGGGAAGGCCGGTTCGCTGGTGATCTCGATCGTCGTGTGCTGATACACCTTGCCCAGGGTCGACAGCTCGACTCCGCTGGGCTGAACGATGTTGTCGGTAGAGCCGTCGCGTACGGTGCGTTCCATATCCTCTTCCTCGTGGCGCGCCATGCGAAGGGCACTGATGTCGGTACGGTTGTATTTGGGGTCAGCGGTGATGGTTGTCAGATGATTGTTGTCCGTCTTGCGGTTCTTGCTGCTGGCGAATTTGTAGCTGTTATCGTGACTGGGTTCCGACTCCAGGATGAGATTTTTGCGAGTCAGGGTGTACAGTAAAGCGTCGACCAAGCCGGAACTGGTGATCATAGCACCGGCGACACAAAAGTAAGCGACGTTCGGAGCATCTCCCTGTGCGGTGGCCATGCGTCCGGCGGCAAGAGGAAGGGAGAGCACAATATAGGCGATCGGATAGATGACCATGTATCCGATAACACGACGGAGGCGCTTGAGACTCTCGATGTGGCTATTGCCCAGAATCGCGGACTGCTTGATGCGGCGGCGGAGTTGGAACCACATGATTGCGTAAAGACATACGGTGCCGAACTCCGCCAGGAAGATCCAGATGTAATGTGTCCATAATCGCATCGCTTCGTAGTCTTCGCTAATCCAGCACTAACGAACAAGTCAGATTAACACAACCGCTTGTTGTGGATGCCGGTCCTTACCCAGGCCCCCGAGGGAATAAACACATAACGCCCATGTGAGGCGAGTGGAATAATAACCAGAATGGCGACAAAGACCCAGATTCCCACCACGGATGCCACAAAGACCCGATGGCTCAGTTTATAACCTAGGGCCACCAAAAGGAATGTATGAATAGCAATCGCGAGCACAAAGAGACCACTAGACGGGTCGCCAATCTGTAGCCAGAGACCCTGGAGAAAACATCCAGCAGTATCGGCCGATATCTTGTTCTCCGATATCCACTTGAGGCAAATCAAGAAAGCGAGTGACTGTTGCAGATCGGCCAACACAAGGTTATAGATCAGAATGATGTATTGATTGTAACCGATATACCGTGCATAAGATCCCCGCCAGAAAACGAGTCGATAGGTGATGAAAGAGATCAGAGCGAGTGTCGCTAAAAATGAGAGAATGGCCATGACCGAGACGGCAATGAGACCCTTGCGCTGAGTGCTCGGAAGCGGATCGATGTCCATCGTTACCCCATCCCTCAAGTATGTACGAGGAGAGAGACCGTGGCTATCATCCTCGAATGCTCCCAGAGCATTCAGTACTTGAACAAGGCTCATTATTGCAACGTCTCTGAACGTGGCGAGTCCGGATGCACTGCTCTCACATCCCCCTCCTCAAGTAGATAACTAGTGATGTAGCAGCGCCCCGGAGGGAAGGACGACGCTTTTGAAGGGGCAAGGATCGTGGGTACTCGACGCTCGATGGATTGACCCAAAGTTTGAGTTGTTGTGAACAGACCGGAAGGTGCAATAATCGGCAAGAGCTCAGATCAGGGGGGAACACTCGTTGCACGCTTTCCGAATCCAGGAGAAACGCTTATCACAGGTTCCTAGAAGTAAAAATGAGAGGAAAGACGGAGGAGGAGGGGGAGATAGTAATTCTCCGTGGCGGTCGAAGAGGGACGAGCCACAACGGTATGGACTGGATTAAAACTACCGGCAACGGCGAGTGGACCATTGTGGGGAGATGGGCCTCTAGTAAAGCTTTTTGATGGATTAGTTGATAATTAGCTGCCCATCATATCCTCCAGGCTCACTCATGCCCAGAAGCTATCACCCGGAATCGTTAGCCTCCTAGGGACGGAGTGAGTGAGAGACGACTAGCCCGGTGAGAAGTGGTTCCTGAAACCTTGGCCATGGGAACATCGCATTCAGCGACCTGGCAGCAAGCCCCATGCCAAGCATAGGGGACAACCGTGGAGAACAGACGGATAGGAAGAGACGGAAGGCATCCGGAGAGTGGACGACGGGTAGACGGGACTGAATTGTCTTGACCACCATTTACTAACAAAATAATAATGCCCGCATTGTCTATTGTGTGCTCCCCTCCTTGCCGGCGGAGATTGGAGTTGAGTCTGAGCGTCGGGTAGATTGAAGGATGAGCAGGGATGAGGAAGCAGTCTCTATGTCTATTGGCAGGATCAATTACCGCGGCTTGAGATGTCGCGTCGATGCAGGTGGCAGGATGCAGCCACAACCCCAGACCAGAGTTTGTTTGCCTTTCGCTTGTCCCATCTCGGTGAGGGCAGAGACCAGAGATGCCCTCTTAGGGGGAGCTAAAATCGTGAGCCTGTGAGTGCCTGTCCAGCTGTCGCCTTCCAGAAACTCGCCCGCCCCACCAGCTGAGACGCCGATCGCCTTCCCAATCCACGTTGGTTTGACTCGAAGCCCGTCGTCACCTTGAGGCTAGATTGTCGCGTGTGGACTGAATGAGTCTCGGAAAGTCTACCGCGGTATGTGAAATGCTTCTCCACAGGCAAGTGCTTCGAGTGACAAGAGCGTGCACGGCTTGAGTTCAAACATGCACACACCTAGCCTTTTGACGTGACCTCCCCGATTGGGGGCACTCGAGTAAGTTTTTGTCTGTGGAACTACCGTACGAGGCAATACGGAGGCTTGGCACAAGGCGAATGGATGAACGAGTGAGTTGAGAATACTGTGTAAGAATAGGATTGTGCGATCGCATAGTTTAGGCTCTCTGAGTAGCAAAACAGTGGTGGTGGTGGTATGACCCCATTGTCTCAGCTTGTCTCCTGGCGTAAGTGGCTAGTCCGCCACCAGGAAGGTTACATGAAGGAGGGAAAGGCTGGACCATTCTCGCAATGGGGATTAGCGGCGATTGATTATTAACTGATAGTGCGTAGTGCGTAGTTATCAGGGAAGGAAGACAAAGGAGAGGGAGAGAAAGGAAGAAAGAGGGAGCGGACGGAGATTACTTACTCTTAGTATGGGGTGAGGGCGGTTATCCCCGACCATTTCTTGGCATCTCCCCACTTTTCCAGGCCGCAGGAACAAATAAGCTGTCACTGTTGATAACGTTGCATACGATTTGCCTCACGCTCGTGGAGCCTACACTTTGGGTTAGCATGTACATACGGAGTACATGCGGGCAGTACTAGTGACAGTAACTTACAGGAGGCCTTGGTCTCTTCGGTTGAGCCAACCGACTGGGCATGGCTCGGCCAGTTTGACAGCGTCCAAGAACTGCACTGTACATTCGCATATGCATCAGTATCAGTATCAGACTCTCAGTTGTCCCAATGCACCACAATCCCTGGTCGGCTTCAAAAATCATCAATATGGCCTTGTACTACCGCATTCTCTTCGTTTAATACCCACAGAGATATGCTCCTTCTGCCCTTTCCACCTACTCAGATTCACATGCACGGTACACTACGCAGTAGCTCCCCCCTTGTCTCTTGGCTGGAATAAGAGCCCTATGGCTTGAATGCCGATCTCGGTTGTTGAACGTTCCTTCCTCTACCGACACCATGGAGTTGGTTCCAAGTTGGGTGTTCAACCTTCCCCAGAAACTCCTAGTTACACCAGTACGTACACATGCATACAAGCTCTGATCTATTCAACTCTGCTAGTCATGCAAGGGACAAGGATGATTTCGGAATCTTCCCGAGTCCATGGACATGGGGTGCACTTGGTCTATCTGGTTGCACGAACTCTGCCCTCCACCTTCTGCTCTTTCGGTCAAGATGAAGATTCCATGGTTGACCCAGCGAGAGAGGTCTGGTAGCTGGGGGATCTGGCAAAACATCTGCACCCTATGGCACCTGTGACTCTGCAAGAGACCGAACTCAAATGGCTCTCATTGTGACCGCTCGGAGTAATTCTTTCCGAGGGGTAGTGAATGTCGCCGCTCGATTCGAGACCCATTCATCACCTCTATTAAAGTCGTGAGGGGGCAGCATCTAAACCAGCAATCCTGCTCGCTGGCCCTATGAGCTCTCTCAAAAGTTATCCTGAGTCGAAGAGGGTGCATTGATCGATCTGTGATGCGGCCGTCATCGGTGGTCAAATTGATCTCCCAACATCAACGAGCACAACACTAGTGAAAAGAAGTTCTTTGATAAACTGCAGCCAGATCTGCGGTTTCTTCAGCCGCGCATCATTGTCGTCGTTAGGAAATAGGGTGTGACTAGCCCAGATCCACATCATCCGAAGAGCGACAATCATTTTCTATTGTTGGCACCTTTCCCGAAGTCTGCTGCACCCCATACTCTAGTCCATCCTTATGGATTCCGCTACACAATGCAGATAAATCCCGCAACCTCACGGAGTCACGATAGGAGTTTTGCTATGAGCAAAAGCCTCCTGTGATCTGACTGCCCTTCTTGACCCCTTTCGAATTCGAGTTGATTGGTGCATGGATCAACGTGCAATTCTTGGCAGGTTCCATGGAATGCTGCCCGCTGGTTCGGGCCTGTCTGGCATCATCCCGACCGGTTCGAGTAGAGAAAGACAACTGGTTCCAAGCGGCAAGTCCGATTGCTTCAGGCCTTCATAAAACCTCTCGAGTGACACTAATCCAATTATGGCCACTGTGGCTAATCTTCCTCCCAGGACTTGACTGATGACATCGGCAGTTATTGCCGATGGCTTTTGGCCTCGTAAAATCGTCGTGCGTGCCGTGGGTGCGAGAGCCCACCTAACCTACCTTGAATTGCTGCGAGCGTACACATCCATAGTACCGGATATCTCAACCCTGCAGCTCCGACTCGGCATTGCATCCGCACTGGATTTGATGATCGTCGACATAGAAACTGTCAAAGCTCGCGGATCGACATGGTTCCCTGAATCGAAGTTCTGCACACTGTGCGGGTCTGGATCTCATCGCATCGCATCGCACCGCATCGCATCGTGGTCGAACTGCTTGTGCCTTGTGGGCTTTCCCATCGCATCCTCAACAGTGGTAGGAGTGGATCAAACACGGCACATGGACCACATCCTGATTTTCCCACACGAAGATCGATCTCAGGGCTCCTCAGCCTCAACCAGAACCGAAGAGACAAAATACCAACAAAATTCGCGTATTTATCACGAGTAGACACTGGACATCTAACTTTGCCCCTTTTCCCCGGAAAGAACAAGCGCCAATGACAATGCTTCAGCCAAATGATACAATGTCAATGTTATCTTCTCTGTCGGCAAGACCCCGACAGGTGGTGGCACCGAATTTCCCTTCTCAGCACCTGAGATAATTTCCACAGGGCGGAAGATGGGTCAAAAGAGAAAAACTCTGTTTGAAATTCCCATAGTCTCCCATAATTACTAGTTTACCCCAAGACGAGCTATTCTCTTTGACTTTCACTAGCGGCACCGACGGCAGTTTTAGTCGAGCCCAATGGGGAGGCAGGGAGAAGTTTGTTTGCACGGCAGCTTCCGATCGGACCTACGTCTTGTCTGTCTGTCTGTCTGTCTGTCTACCTCCTTGCCTGGCTGAAGGAAAGCTTCCGAGATCTCTCTCGTATTGAATGAGATCAGGGTCCCACGCAGCCATGTGGCCTGTGAAGTAATCATATCTATCGACCAACTTTGGTTTCATACTCGTTGAGCTATGGCGGGTCCTTCCACCATCACCTCTTCTTCTTTCTATCTTCTCAACACGAGCACGAGTATACTCCGGACTGATCATATATCTGCCAAGTACCTCAAGCCACTTTACACGCTGCACCCACAAAATTGTCTCCTTGACAAACCCTAGCCAATCTACGAGACCTCACACGGCGAGACCAATGCAGACATCCACATTCTTCTAATCCACAAAGTCGCGAGCACCTTCCCTCTACATCAACACAGGAGACTTTAAGAACATGGACACACCACCCCATCCCGGATACTAAGCACCCAGTCGACTCAAAAATGGTTCCTGGTCTCCTGTGTGTCCTGAGCTGAGCCTCTTCCCCATCTAGCCCGTCCCCTTTGTATTCAACAAACCCCCACCCTCCCTTTACTACTTTGGTCTCCGGTCCACACTCCAGGCAGTAAGTCTACCTCAACCCACCATCAGCCTCAGCAGAGTCAGGGTCAGGGTCCAGTGCAACAACAGCACGTCGATCATCCTCAACCTAGAACCATCCGATTCCAAACTCGAGCTCTGATGATCCTCACATCACCCCCAGAGAAGAAGGTCCAAATAAAGAAACCCCGTGATGAATCAGACCTCAAGGCGTGGATCCGGTAGTTTCGGCCTAGTTACCCTAACCCAACCTAACCCTTTTGCTCAGTCACCCTCTCTCCCCTGTTGAGACTCTAAGGCTCTCCACGGCCCACCTTGATTAATCTACTAGGCCGATAAAACTTCCTAGGGCTGTGGAACTCGGGGGGGAGGGGGGATGTTCAGATGAGCAGAGCAACTAGCTTTCATCCCTTCTTAACCTTAACTCACTCCTCCACCCTCTTTCGTATACCACGGCACACAAAACTGGGACCCGGGCTCACCTGCCTGAGCGGGGACAAAGTGAGTGAGTGAGGACCCGGCGAACCGGGAAGCCTTGGAGCGAAAGACCCAAACCTCAAGACCG